ATATTAAAAAAATAGTGTAAAAACAAAGGGTTATTCTTCCCCCCGAAAAAAAGATTGTAAAAAATTACCCCCATTGTATTTGAGAGATAATGAAGCAAATAAAAAAAGAACTATCTCCAAAGGGAAGGGAAATTTCCTAGCTACGAAAGATAAAGAAATGTAACAGGGGTCTTCCCCATTTTATTCGAAAGTAATACAAATTTATTGAGGTATTTTTTATTTCATTTTTTGTTTTCCAATGATTTGTTTGTATTTAGGGGTGAATACGAGTAAATTGAAATGATAGAAAGAGAGCCAAATTACCTGGGTTGTACGAATGTCGGTGGAGTCTCGTTGGTTTTATCTCATAGCCGTTCGGGGTTCCATCGTCGAAGATAAGATGCTAGGTTAGTCTTAGTAGGCCAAATAAGTTTGAAGCAAAATAGGAATATGAGGGTCTTGATATAGTTTACCTTGGAGTGTTTGGGTCTTCTCCAGAGTATGGAGGTTGTTCTCGTTAGGTCACCGTAGTTTATGGCTCTGCCTCTTCGTCCTTTGGAGTTAAAAGGTTGGTTTAGGGGTCTAAAGGTTCTCGATTAGGTTATAGGGTCTGTTGTTGAGAGTTTAGTTAAGAGGTTAACTTAAGGTTGTATTGACGGTGGTTTTGAGTTTTGTCTAGTGCCGATTAACGATGGTTTCGTTTGTTTTGGGTCTCGATCGAGAGAGAAAAGAAAGGGGTTGAGTAAGATGAGCGTTTTGATCCGGTTGGGATTTTGTTTTGGGTGTTTCTAGTGGTGATTTGTGGTGGTTTGGGCAAGAATGGCCACCGTTAAACGGTGCCCTACTAGCGACGTGAGTTGAAGCCCTTAGGGCTCTCGGTCGGGGAAGAAAAGGGAGAGTTTTGAGAACTCTCATAGGCGGCCATATGTTTAGTTTAGGTGTGTTTAGTTTAGGTTTATTTTATTTTAGGTTTTATTTTAAAAGGTTTAGGTAAATTAGTTTTTTAGCCACCGAGACTTTCGGTAAAATTGTTATTTAATCTCTCTATTTTTAGCGTTTATTTGCATTCTGGCCCCTTGTAATGTTATTTTTTCATTTACTTCAATTATGATGCACTGATTTTGTAACTTTCCACTTTATAGTTGTTAATAAATTTTAGGTTTATAAAAAAAATTAACAATTGTGATACAGTCCTTCTAATTTAGGCGTGTTTTCACATTCTGGTCCCTATCATATTTTTAATTTATTTACGCTTAATTTTGATTTATGCTAATTTGGTCACCATGCTGATTTTTTTCATTATATTAAAATTAAGTCCTTGAATTATTTTGTTAATTTTAATTTAGTCCCTACTATTAGCTTGTATGATCATGTTTAAATTTGGTCCTCAAATTTTATTGCTAATTTTTATTTAGTCCTTAGATTTAGATTTTAAATATTTTTTGTCCTAATTTAAATTGTTTTATCTTTTACATTAATTCCTTAATTTAAATTTCTTTTAATTTAGTCCATTGTAAGGTTTGTTTTCTTTAATTAGTTGTATTTCTTTGTTTTGTGTGTTGATAAATTCATGTATGTACAAGTATGCGAATGATTTATTTATGATTTACATGGCATTATTTTTGCGTAATTTGTATGATATCCTCACGTGCATACTCGAACTATAATTACATAATTGGATTAAGGGCAATATCCTTTTAATTTAAATTGTTTTGAGTGGCTTATCTTGACTCATTAGAGAGCCGCTTTCGACGATTTTAAATTAAGAGTGTATCCCAACAGTGAAACTTAAAAAATGATTTCTCACTTAAATTTTGGGAACGAAAGAAAAATAAATATTCAGTTATTTAAAATTTTCAAGGAAAGATTGTTAGAACTTATCTAAGGTATGATCTCGATATTTTTAAATAATCGAATATCATTCTTTTTTCTAAGAGGCATGTTAATTTTAATTTAATTTGTTTTTTTTTGTGTATTTGAATATTATAATAGAATTATAATATTTCTTTATTTCGATTGGTGTAAAAATTGATTGCCTCAAGTTATGAAGGGTTTGTTTCTTCTCGATAGGAAATAATTAAATATTATTATATTCATTTTTAAATTCATTTTTTTGTTTTGTGGGATCATAAATTAAATTAAATTCAAGTTTGTAAATTTTTGCAAAGACATTAATTAATCGACTAGATACCGATTTAGGTCGTTGTGGGGTGCTAATCCTTCCCACGTAAGCGACTCCAGAACTCAATTTTCTGGTACGTAGACCTCAATTTGTTGTTTTAATTAAAATTAATATTTTTATTAAAATAACAAAGCATTTTTTTGTGCCTAATCACGCTCTAATCAATATTGGTGGCGACTACTCGAACCATACATTTTTATTAGGAATCTCAAATTTTTCGAAACGATAGATTTTTTAAATCGCATTTATATTTTAATTAAAATTAATCAAAAGAAATAAATTAAGAAATGTGTAGTTTTTAAAATCTCACCTAAGAAAAATCGTTTCGACACGTGGTGTTTGCACTTTTATTATACCTCTTCCCCAATAAACCTTTGATAAAATTTTCATTCAACATGTGTATGACATGCATACTGGCATGTTTAGTTTATGCTTAGTTTTATCTTAAGGTATTAGTTTTGTTTTATGACTTGGTATAACGATGATGTAACATTATGGTTTGTTTTAACAAGGTTACTATGTTGAGTTAGGATTTTTGAACTTTTGAACTAATTAATTTCATGTATTTTTCACAGGGAATAATATTGGTATCATCTATATGGCTGCATGGTGTGGTACCAAGAGAACACTATTTTTTACTGGATTTCATCTGGCAGTTGTAGCATTAGAAAACTATCCTATCATCATCCATATAAACCATTTGCCCATTTAACTAGCTATACAGGTGGAGTGTTATAATGCTTCTGCGTAGAACTTGTGCTTTTGCAATATTTGTGTATGGAAGATATTTTTGATACCCTACTATTTATTCATGTCTCTAGAATCTGTGCCCAAATTAGAATCTTTTGATACCCCTCAAAGTTTGCTTCATAGGAATTGATTCCAGAGATGTAGGAAAACAAGTAATTTGATCAGATATATGGTCAATTGTTCGTTTGGTTTCGATTTTGTCAATCAGATTATCTAACTATTTAAATGTCCTAATCAATTCACTGGTCGTTAACTTTTAATGTATAAGGTGATGTGACTTAAAAATTTTAGTATAATCATATATTGTTATTAATAGTTAGAATATGGTTATTATTTTAATTAAATTTAATAAATTTAAATTTCAATTAGATGCATCATTTGGTAATTGAGTAGAAAATAATCTAATGAGTAGAAAATAAGTTAAAGAAGATAAGAGCATACTAAGAAATGCAGTTGGGGAATCGAGCCGAAGATTAGGGGAGCATTGTAATCTCGTATGCTAATGAGGGGTCTTAAACTAGGACATTAAGGTGGAGTGTACGTATATTAAGCACCAAGTCAAAGCAGGCATTTGATTTAAGTTTAGACATTATATGTATATAATTATCAAATTAAATCCTTTTATAATAAAAATATGATTATATTTTTATATTTTAAATTAGATTTATTTTTTACATTTATTTTTATAATTTTTAGTTAATTAATTTAAATCAATATAAACTTTAATTGACATGTTAAAAGTAATTTAATTATATATTCATTTTAGCAACTTAAAAATAAAAGTTAATTGGACTTTTAACTAATCAAGTTTTTAGCTCATACCGGTGAGAATTAATCTATGCCATTTTAGATTGACACTATGTTACATATAAAATGGTCGTTTGAGTTGGTGTCAACCAATGGGTTTTTTGGCCCAATACCCAGGTGGGCCAATTATTTAGGGTATTGGGCCACCAAGAAAATTAAGTTGTGAACTACGACATATCCTACAGTGCGTCCCGAACTCCTCACCTCGAGGTGACGAGTTCCATTAAATATAATTTTTTAATGAGCCCAGATGGGCGAGTCTCACATGGCCATTAAATTATTGGTTTTATTAGGACTCATCATATCGAGGTGACGAGTCTATTAAAAAATATTTTTTGTTACAAAAAAATTAATTTAGGAAAAAAATAGAGGGACCCTTTGAATTAAAAAAAAGTCGTTTCTGCCTATTTGTCAAGGGCAAATTAAACGGTCAAATGCAACAGTCATGTGGAACTTGTCACTTTGAGGTGACGAGATGTTGCGCCTCAACCACGTCCATGTTTCATCGATCGAAGTCCCACCGGAAGGACAAGGGAGAGTGTCCGTCAGTGCGTGATGACTTCGAAAGATTTGCATAAACAGATGTTGATATATCTTCAACAATTCGGTCTTTATCCAGCCATATTTGTACGTGGGTTTAAGGTGTACCCGACGTTAATTGTGGCTTTAAGGTGTACCCGACGTTAATTGAGGCTTTAATTGAACGTTGGTGGCCTAAGACATATACTTTCCATTTCACGAGTGGTGAGGTGACCATTACCTTGGAAGATGTCGCTTACCAACTCGGTGTTCCTATCAATGAAGACCCGGTGGTGAAGCAGAACATGTACGACCCCTTGGCGTTGGTGTATCAAATTTTGGGAAAGTGGCCGACATGAAATGTTATGGAGGGCTATCGAGTAAGAATGACGTGGTTGAAGTCCGAATTTAAAGTTACGAGGGACTCTACCAAGAACGAGGTTATTTTTGTATATCGGGCATATATTCTCAAACTTATCAAAGGGATATTATTATCGGATAGATCTGGTAATTTGTCGCACACACAATATTTACAAATATTAGATGACTTTCGGCAATTGTCGCAGAACTAGTTGGGGCTCGGCGATTTTAGTATTTATATACCGGAAGCTTTGCAAGGCATCTATCCCGTTTTATTATCAAAGCAAATATCAAATTCAAACTTGCACAAATATAATAACATTAGCATCCTTAATCACTAGTGGATATCGTATCCTAAAATAACCTTAAAGGTGAATTGTTTTAGTAAAGTATATAAATATGGAAACAACAAAAGCATTTACTCCATCCGTATGATACAACGGAGACTTTTTCCTTGAAGCAGTAAATCAAAAGCTTTGTTGATCTCCTCTAAACTCATTTCATGTGTTATGAATCCATCCAGATTAAGCTCCTGCATGCGCATTACATATGTTGAAAACAAAACATCTAATTTATGAAATCAAAGTCACTGCATGGAATAATGAAATATAACCTTGTTGAGATATTTTTGAGCAAGCATTGGGATGTCAGATTTGGGTTTGAGTCCTCCAAAGAAAGAGCCAGTCACAGTTTTGCCTCTTAGAAGAGCAAGTGTGCCGATAGTTAATGGTGTTGCATGCTTCTCCACTCCCAATATCACTGTCTTGCCCCAACCCTTTGTTCATTTTCCCCAGAATCAAATTTTGTTTTAACCAAGAAGAAAATAATTTTTAATCACATATACCCACCGTTCTAGTACTATTGAAAGCATCTTCCATTAGTGAAGCCAACCCAATGCACTCAAAGCAGTAGTCGGCACCCCCATCTGTTATTTCCTTAATCACCTATAGTATGCAACAATTTAACAACTATATCACCACTCACATTTTAACACAAGTGCTTGGGATGATCCGGGGAGAGCTGGCGGGCAGGGCAGTTATTTTTTTTTAAATTAGTCTAAGTATTTTCTAGAGGGGACTACACGTTTAGTATGGAATTATCACTTTTATTCCGTTTTGATCATCCAATTATTATTTTTTCAAAATCATACCTAATGTTACGTTTCGGTTCATTTTGTTCACCCAATGTTTAAAAATTAATAGAAATGTTGACGTGGCTTTTTTTATTTTTATTTTTTTCAATGATGACATAACATTACCTTATGGTAACACGTTAGAATCACCATTAAATTTTTAACGATGATTCACCAAAATAAAACCAAAACTAAATGTTAAATATGATTTTGAGAAAAATATTTGGGTGACCAAATCAAAATAAAAGTGATAGTTGAGTTACTAAATATGTAGTTTACTTTATTTTTTTTATTGATAATTTGTTATCTTTCTCAAATTTTTTTAATATCCATCTTTACATAAAATCTTATATTTGTGCAAGACATGAAAGAGTTGGTGGATATTAGAATTTTTCCCATTCTCATCTAATCTTTGAATTGGAGTTAATTAGGATACCAACCTCACAGACTTTTGTGTCTCCACATGCTGAGGGGTTGATAAAATCAGTGACCCCAAACCTTTTCCCTGTGAACAGAAAACAGACACTTTTCAGCATAATTTTTTTTCCTAAGATAAACTAAGCATTTACTTAAACTATTAATTTTTTATCCGTTTTAGTATCTAAATTTTTAACTTTTTCAAAATTATACCTAACGTTTAGTGTTTATTTAATTTTAGGATCTCACTATTAAAACCTTAACGCGTTTAGTATGTAAACTATCAGTTTTGATCCGTTTTAGTACCTAAATTTTTAATTTTTTTAAAACTTAACATTAAAGTTTGAACGAGGTATTAAAATGAAACAAAAATTAAAGCTTTTAACGGCGGGTACTAAAATGAAACAAAAATTAAACTTTATGTATAATTTTGAAAAAATTGGAAGTTTAAGTACTAAACAGACCAAAACTAATAGTTTAGGTACTAAACATATAATTTACTCTTATTTCTACTTTATGAACATTCAATAATGGTGTTAGTACTCACCCATCTCAAATTTTTCATCATTCAAATCTATACCAATGATCTTTGAAGCTCCACGTAATCTGGCCCCTTCTGCAACCTGATATATGCGAACAAACGTACAAGCGGTCACAAAGAAAAGCATTTTTCTAAAGAAAAAAACTGATGGATTTCAATATCAAAATGGAGAACCGCAAGTCCAACAGGTCCCAGGCCAAAATGGCGACCGTGGAGCCTTCTTCAATATCTGCCACCTTCCATGCTGCTCCTATCCCTGTTATGGACATGGACGTAAGACTAATGCCAAATATGAAGCAATGAAAAAGCACTTACCGGTGGATATTCCGCAGCTAAGCAGGCAGGCTTTATCAACCGGGAATTCTTTTGGGATTTTCACAACATTAACCACATCCACCACCGTGTACTCGGTGAAGCTGGAAACAAACAAGAAATGGTGCAACTCCTCCCCATTCATGCTCTTGAATCTACTTGTTGCATCCCTTGGCATATTGGTGGGCAGTTGGTAACCAAATATGGAGCAATCATTCCCCTTATGGGACTTGCAGTCCCTACATTCTCTGCAATTCGGATGAAACACTGGCACCACCATATCCCCTTCTTGAACTTCCTCCACATGCTCCCCCACACTCTCAACAACTCTTCAACCACCGAGATAACAAGGAATTAAACAAGTAGAAAAAGCTTAAACTTCAAACAGAGAATGTGTAAGTTGCAGTTGAATTACCCTACAGCTTCATGGCCGAAAATTATGGGAAAAGCTGCGATTGGTGCCTGGAGGAGAACAAAAGTGCGATTGATTGTCAAACAATGTATGGAAAGATGGAAGCTTTTATATAGAATTTGACAAGGGAATTACGGTGGGGCTTTTCCAGATGGTAATGTCAGAATGACAAAGAGAAGTGCAGAGAATCTTTATCCTAATTTCCCAAGCCTTTGGTGGATCAACCTCAATTTCCTCTATCAAGAGTGCTTCTCCTGGATTTCTGCAAACTGCAGCTGTTTTTTTTATGAAATAAATAAAGGAATCAGAGAGAGAAGCAAAGGAAAACAGAGAACCCAAAACCCAGAAAAGCAAAACAACCTTTGCATCTTATAGCTTTTCCTGCAGTTTTGGACCCGCTTTGGTTCGCCATTGCTTCTTCAGCTAAGATTAAGAGATGGGAGCAGTTTTCTTGGCTTACTCCTACTCTTTGTGCCCCTTTGATTTATAATCTCAGAATCTAACGTTTGTGATTACAAATTTTGTCACCTTGCTGCAAATTTTACTTGGATACAAGAATCTCATGCAACCAAATAAATAAATAAATCACAATAATATATTACTATTTTTTTTGGGTGAATTCACGAGATAATGTTCTCGAATTTTTTTTTTCACGATATGGTGCACATCACAGATTAATTGCTGGAATGGGGTGAATTCTACAGTGATCGCCATAGGACGCCATGCAATCCAGGCGACCTTGGAGGACGCCATGCAATCCAGGCGACATACGGGTTGAGGGTGACATACGAGCCATATACGAGCCATACGAGCCAATGGGGAGCATGCAACGAGCCATATACGAGCCATACGAGCCAATGGGGAGCATGCAGGAATAGAGAGCCAATGGGGAGCATTCAACGAGCCATATACGAGCCATACGAGCCAATGGGGAGCATGCAGGAATAGAGAGGTCGCCATGCAGCCTAGGCGACCTTGTAGGTCGCCATGTAGTCCCGGCGACCTTGTAGGTCGCCATGTAGTCCCGACGACCTTGTAGGTCGCCATGTACATGCACAGCCACATAGATTCCTTCACGTGCTCCCCGCTGCATGCCTACAGCTCCCAATGCATGCATGTGAACCATTTGAGCCAATGCATGCATGTGAACCATTTGATTATTGGTACAATAATTGAAGTATTGCTGCGTGAAATCAGCTGATGATATCATAGCTGCAATTGTACAATTATTGGTGAAATAATTGAGGCAGCCGGTTATAAAGAAAGAAAGAAAGGGAGAAGAGATTGCAGAAGAAAGGGAGAAGAGATTGCAGCCGAGAAAGAAAGAAAGGGAGAAAGGAAAGAAAGAAAGGGAGAAAGGAAAGTAAGAAGAAAAAGGGAGATAAGGTAAATTTTTATATTTAAATTAGTTTATTATTATAAATGTTTAATTTGTTAGTTTAGGGTTTAGGGTAAAACAAAAAGTAGTTAATTAGTTTGTTAGTTTAGGGTTATAGATTGTTAGTTTAAGTTATAGTATACATAAATTAAAAATTATTTAATTAGTATATGTTTGATAGTTATATAGTTAAAAAATAATTAATTAGTTTGTTTTGTTAATAGTTAGTTATATAAAAAAAATTATTTAATTAGTTTGTGTTAGTTAAATAGTTAAGTTATATTTGTTTGTTGAATTTATATTATATAAAAAATTAGTTAGTAAGTTTATTAGTAGTATATTATAATGAAAAAATAGTTTATTAGTTAGTTTTAGTTATATAAAAGAATATTTTATTAGTTGTTTAAGGGTTTAGCGTTTACGTTTAACTTATATTTTAAAAAGTTTAGTTTGTTAGTTTATTAGTTTATTATATTAAAAAAATAAATTAATTTAGATTAAAAAATTAGATAAGATAATTTCATAAATTATTAAATATAATATAATATACTATTATATTAATGATCAAATAAAATTTATCATTTAACTTGATTTATTGCTTACTAATAAACCTAATAATGATTTGATAATTACTATTAATCTAATGATTTGATATTTAATGATTTAATAATAATATGATTTAGTCATAATCACTAATAATTATTTATTATAAATATTTAATGATTTAGATTTGATACTAATCATTTAGTAATTATTACTAATAATAATGATTAGTTTGATAATATTTTTTATTTTTTAAAAATATCAAACAAATTTGTTAGGCAAAACTGTCGAGATAAAGTTCTCGAAATAATTTTTTCGCGAGATAATGCGTTGTCCGGATTATTTCATTCAATTAATTTTTACTTCTTACTAATATACACATACAATGTAAATTAAACAAATATTTTTAAACAACACTAAATATTTTTAAACACAATATTTTTAAAACGGAAATTATCTCGCACAAATTAGTTTATATAATCTAATATAAACTTACTAACTAACTAATTTACACATACACAACAACAAAAAATGGACAACAAAAATAATAAATTACTCACGTCTTTATGCCTTCTTCCTTTACTTTCTTTTCCTGCCTTGTTTCTTTCTTCGAATCAATCTGTACGTGGGCAAATATTGTGAAATAATGTCCTGTATGTGTAAACAAAATATTTATTTAAACAACAATAACTCCCACAAATTAATTTTATATAATCTAATATATTATAATATACCTTAAACTAATAAACTATTTCTTTATTATAATATAACTTAGTTAAAATAACAAACTAATTAAGCACTAATTATTTTTTATAATATAACTTCAACTTCACGAACAACCTAATATACGTTTAAAGACACTAACAAATTAATTAATATTTTTTATATTTAATAACTTAAACTAAGAAACTAATTAACTAATTTTTTATATAATATAATATATAACTTAAACTAAGAAACTAATTAACTAATTTTTTATATAATATAATATATAACTTAAACTAATAACTAATAATATAACTTAAACTAACAAACTAATAATTTATACTAACAAACTAATTAACTAGATTTTAATTTTACCCTAAACCAAATTAACAAACTAATAATTTCATATAATAAACTAAATTAAACAATAAAAAAATTACCTCACGAACTATGTTTGAGCCTTTATCTTCTTTTCTTTCTCTCGGCAAAGTTTATATGTGCTGGTTCTGCTTGTGCTTCTACCCTAAACCCCATATCCTTTATATAAAGCAACTGAGCGTTGGACAGAGTCATTAAATTTGATTGTTGAAGCAAATAATATTAGCATTGTCGTCTAACTATTGAGCATTGAAAGGCTGACAGCTAAATTAACGCTGCAATAACGCAACTATAGATGCAACACATACAGCTACGGGTGCAGGAATCTCTCAGCTATGATGCAACGCATGCATGCAGCTACAGCAGCTACCAGACCTTGGTCGCCGAGACTCCATGGCGACCTACCTACCACGCCGCCGTGACCTACACCGTTCGACGTGCATGGCCATGCACAGTTCCCACGTCCCATGCACAGCATGCATCTGCATGGCCATGCACAGTTCCCACGTCGCATGCACAGCATGCATGCATGCATCCCCTCCCCCATGCATTCCCACGTCCCATGTTGATTGCATGGCGACCTTTGCAAAATACACACAGGGCGCCCTGATGCCATGGCGACCTTGGAGGTCGCCGGATTGCATGGCGACCTCCAAGGTCGCCTGGATTGCATGGCGTCCTATGGCGATCACTGTAGAATTCACCCCATTCCAGCAATTAATCTGGGATGTGCACCATATCGTGAAAAAAAAATTCGAGAACATTATCTCGTGAATTCATCCATTTTTTTAGATTGAAGTGTTTTCAATTATACAGTGTTGAAAAATATTTATCATTTTTGTTAAAAAAACTTATAGATAAAATTATTTATTTATTTTACAGAATTTTTAATATTTGTTAAAAATATTTAAATTAGTTTTTATCTTGCTAAAAATATTTTTAACAACAAATTAAGAAATAAATTTTTAAAAAAGATTAAAAACAATTTGACTATATTTTTAATAACAGTTTTCAGAAATATTAAACATTACATAATAATATAATATTTTTAGTCGACAACTGCTCTGCAACAACGTCTAAATTAACAAAAGGTATTAAAATTATGGATAAACTAGGTCATTCAATTATGAGTTTGATAATATATAATTATTTATTATTAAAAAAATATAAATATATCACTTAATATGTAAATATTGTTACAAACATACTATTCTCTCGTAAATATTAAATGGAATAGTAACGTGATATGATATAATGGTAATTTTAATTTTAAAAACTTATACAATTTATTAATTTGTCTTTATTCTAAAATAAATTAATAAATTTAATATTTTTTAAAAATATTTTAATTGAATTTAGTCCTAGGTATAATAACAATTTAACAATAATTTATTTTTGTTTTATGACAAAATATAATTATTCAACTATTGCTTTGATTCGATAGACTCGTTTAGTTTGACAATATCACAAAAAAAACAATAAATTAATAAATTTTTAAATATATAATTAAATTTATTGAATTGTTTTAAATTATCACAAATTTAATAAAATGTACTTAAAATATTATTTCAATTGGACATATTAAATGTTCGTTTCAATTTAAAGATGATATATTTATAAGGCTTATATAATAAATAAGTACTTAAAGTATATTATCTTTTTCATTTAAGTACCTAAATTAATTTTGGTCAAAATAAGCATCTAAAGTTATCTTTTTAATTAAAATAGGTGCCTAAAGTATTTAATTTTTTATCTAAGTACCTAAAGTATTCTTTAATTAATATCACATGCCAGCTTTTTTTTAGAACTTAATGAAAAAGTTTGAATAGTTTGACACCTATTTTGACATAAAATACTTTCGGTATCACCTATTTTGAAAAAGGTTGAATAGTTTAGATACCCATTTTATCATAAATACTTTAGGTATTTATTTTGTTAAAAAAATATTTTAAATACCTAAATAAAAAATATAATATACTTTAAGTGTTTATTTGTTATATAACCCTATTTATAATAGTATTTTAATAATCCATTTCACTTTTGAAAGCTTGCAAGCTAGCGGTAGAGTTGTAAATGATGATGAGTGATGGTAACCATAAGAATGGGTTTAATCAATGAATAAACTCTATGTTATTGTTACTGTATTTTGGCTAAGTTTATAGGTGGATTATCATATTTTAAGTTATAATAATATTATTTTATTTACTACTTATAATAATTAGATTTCTTTCTTGCTAAGTTTATCACGGATGATATTTTATTATAGGATGAAAGTAGAATTCTATGGTAAGAGATCGAATTTATAAAAATTTAAAAACAAAAAATATAATAAAGATATAAATATATATATAAATCATATGAGAATTTAAATTTTTATGAGGACGATTGTTCCCATCAATTTCTCTAGATTCATCCTTTATTTATTTATTGATTTTAACAATTAGAGATCATTTGGTTCACA